TTTTGTCTTAGGTTTTTTCGCTGTCTCGGGATTTCTTAAATTTTGTCTCAGGTTTTTTCGCTGTCTCGGGATTTCTTAAATTTTGTCTCAGGTTTTTTCGCTGTCTCGGGATTTCTTAAATTTTGTCTCAGGATTTTTCGCTGTCTCAGGATTTCTTAAATTTTGTCTTAGGATTATTCTGCTGTCTTAGGATTATTCTGCTGTCTTAACTTTTGCACCTGTGTCTCAGGAATTTTTGCAAATCTAATCCTAAGATCCGAGGCTGGGGGAGGCCTCTACAGATACTCGATGGTGCTACTCCCATATAAACCTTGTGCATCAAAGTTAGACAGCTTTTAGCAATGAGATTAGGAAGAGCTAAAATTCCTATTTTGTTGAAGATGGATTTTGTGTGAGATGGTAGTTTACGTTTTTCTTTGTCGTAAAAATAGTTATGATATTCTGAATCAGTGGCGCGAATAGCTTTCTTTTGAGCAGAGAATAAAGACTGAATGGAATTTAAAGATTTAGTACCCCAAACAGTAGCGCAGTAATACAGGTGAGATTGAATTAAACTATTGTATTGTCAGGGTCAGGGTCAGGGTCAGGGTCAGGGTCAGGGTCAGGGTCAGGGTCAGGGTCAGGGTCAGGGTCAGGGTCAGGGTCAGGGTCAGGGTCAGGGTCAGGGTCAGGGTCAGGGTCAGGGTCAGGGTCAGGGTCAGGGTCAGGGTCAGGGTCAGGGTCAGGGTCAGGGTCAGGGCCAGGGTCAGGGTCAGGGTCAGTATAGGGTTAGGGTTAGGGTTAGGGTTAGGGTTAGGGTTAGGGTTAGGGTTAGGGTTAGGGTTAGGGTTAGGGTTAGGGTTAGGGTTAGGGTTAGGGTAAGGGTTAGGGTTAGGGTTAGGGTTAGGGTTGGGGGGGGTCAATTGTCGGGGGGGGAAATTGTCGGGGGGTCAATTTTCGGGGGGTCAATTGTTGCCCACCCGTTTAAATACTATCTGCAGCTAATGTACATGATTCTAAAACTAATATAAATAATTCTAAAACTCAAATTAAAGTCTTTCGGTCTAATATAGTATTGCTCAATGAGATGGTGTGAAAATCGCTCATAAAACATTAGTAATGTTTGTGCTTACTATTAAAAGCCAGGGAGTGTTTTAGACGAGATTTGTAGTGAAATCAACAAGAAAATGTACGAGGAAATTCAATCTTGCAATTTGATGAACAAGAGATCAGTAACGAAAGAGAAACCATGAGAATGCTTGGAAACTGTTTGTTGTATATTGGACCAGTTCAGTATCACCTGGCTAAGGAAGGCGATACCTCTTGCAGAAGAAATTGACAAGTTGAAAAGTGAGAAGATTTCAGAGTATAATCATCGATCCATAGAATAAGGCTATTGAAAAAAAGCAACAAACAGCTCAAATCAATGCAGAATACCGTGCAAACGGAGATGAAAAGCTACTCTTCAGTCGTTAGAAAAAGCATCAATGCTGCTTGCGCCCCGAAGAAGATCCACGCTGCAGTTAAAAAAGTAGAAAACCAGATTGAGTGAAGCAAGAACGTAATCATTTATGGTCTATCAGAATCAGAGAACGAGCAACTGCTGAGTAACGTTGAGGAGGTTCTGAATGAAATTAGTGAGAAGCCTTTAGTCAGGGACTGCTGCTGTATTGGAGCTCTGAAAGAAAATGTATCCAGACCAGTAAAGTTCACATTGAGCAGTTCTGACCATGCAACACCAGTGATCAGAAACACCAGTACACTACGCTCAAAGGAGGGGAACAGCTCAGTTTACATCTGCCCTGATAGGACTGCCACGGAACGAAAAGCTTATAAAAAGCTTGTAGAAGAACTGAGACTGAAACGAACTACAGAGCCTGACAAGTTTCATAGTATTAGGAACAATAAGATAGTCAGCTTGTAGAGAGTATAACTAGAGGCGAGAGTGGCTAAAATTATTATTCCTACTTATCTAAATTTAAACATTATTGTTGATTTTGATCTTGAAGGGACCATAATTTTTGAGGCCATTACTTGCCGATGATGTCAATGTTTATTTCAGGATTACCACTTTTGGAACTCAATAAATGTATCCTTGTATCCTTGTATCCTTGTATCCTTGTATCCTATCAGGTCCAGTTACTACAAAATGCCGTAGCCAAAGCTGTTGATAGGCAATATAAACATTACCATCTTGAGGATGAACTGATCAATCTTTACTGGTTGGATAATGGATATAGAGAAGAGGATTGAATTCAAAATCCCGCTACAAAATCTCACAAATCCATACTAGGATTGGCTCCTACTTATCTGCAAGATATGTTCGGATTTGTGTTTGGTGTAGGTAGCCTCTCTGTAGTAGCTTCTAAGATGTACAATCAATTTGCTAATTCTTTGAAATCGTTAAAGCTCTTCTAAAAACTTTGTCGAAAAACTATTCAAGTCATATTTGGTGAAAGACCTTCAATTTAAAAAATATAACCTCATCGAATATTTTGAAATGGCCACAACCCATTTAAATATTTTAGTTTCTCTTATTCCGTCACATCTTACTATACATTTCTAACAAAGTAATCGTATAGTATCAATTAAACCAATTCAGTATCAACAAACCACGATAAACTATGTAGAAGATAAGAGGTATGTCACAAATAGAGCCGACTCTAGAGGAAAAAGAATATGATAAAAACGATAGGAAATAGTACGAATGGGTACTCCACCCAATGAGAATACGTGAAAAAATAGTTAGTAATCAAATTACACATTAAAAAGATAACCAAATAGGGTGAAAAGGAGCTTCGAAATGCGACGATAACACTAAAAAACAACCTAAATATTATTGTGAAAATATGACATTATTTGGTTTAGCGCTCGATTTTCATACCACGGTGTAAATATTCGAAAATATGCGCGGCGCACCTAAAATTTTGGTTCCATTAAACATGAATTTTTTGGTCAAAATTATATTAAATATACTTTAATTAATTGTTATTACAAGATATAAGTTTAAAAATTTTCAAAATATAGCATATAAGTACCAAAAATAAATTGCGCGCAAAAAAGTCAAAATTTTTACCACTTTTTCGGATTTTTACCTCAGAACAAATAGAGGGATTTGTTTTATTTTTACACAATCTTGTGCGGCTGTCTTTTAGCTATCTTCATGCAATTTTTGCCGACATACCAACAAAATTAACTTGCTCAAAATATCAAAAAACATGGTTTTTTTGGCCTATTTTTGGCCCAAAAATCGGTTTTTTGCAATTTTACCCCAGAACAATCAGTCCAATCATTTTAAAACCACTTTCAATCGATTCTACGGTCAAAAATACGTCTAGTAAGGTGTATCTGGGGTCCCTAGCGTATCGAGCAGACAATGCCCGTAAGAGCCTTTACTATTAAGTTTGAATAATTTTTTGCAGTTGTATTAAATCAACCCAAAAATAGTCACATCGTGTTTGCCTAAATTTTTCCTTTCCGAGAAGTACCCACTTCATATACTTAATCGAAGTTTGAATATTGTCACTCCGCAAGCGTTTTTGCCAAATTTTCGACGCGCACTACGCGCAAAAGCATTTAGTTGTTATCAATTGGCACCCGCGCGTTCATCATAAATTTCAAACAGCTATAACTCAGCGAGATTATGTCCGTTCTAGCTCATATTTTCACACTAAATAGAAAATAATGTGATCTTATTGCTGACAAAATATGGATATAATTACTTTATTTGCCTTAGAGTAATAGACTGTCAAAGTTTAAAACACGCATTGGTATAGCACGTGACTAATAAGGCCAAATTTATACTTCTTAACATATTATCGATCCTTAGACATCATACTATTGTGTCCAATTAGCGGTTAGGTCTCTAAACTCGTAGCAGAAAACACGTCTTTTTGCCCGTAAGAGCCTCTACTAGAATAACAAATAAGGAATCAGCGTCCATGGTCCAAGATTTGTAGGTTTATAGCCTACCAAGACGCGCGCCGAGTTGGACTCGTCGACGGTCTTGAATATTATTGATATGTTTTACGAGTATCAGCCGTTAATCCAAAGTACATTAACAAGTGATACTCGTTTATCGGGTGATACTCTTAAAATAATTGAGTCCAACTCGGCGCGCGTCCTGGTAGGTCATAAACCTACAAATACTCGTTTGTAGGTTTACAACCTACCAGGACGCGCCGAGTTGGACTCGTCGACGGTCAATATATGGAACAGATATTTTACGAGTATCACCCGTTAAATACTCGTAAAATATTTGTTCCAAGACCGTCAACGAGTCCAATCCGGCGCGCGTCTTATAGTAGGTCATAAACGTGAAACGTAAACCTACAAAAGATACACAGACTGAAGCTACTTTAATAAACCCCAGGGCCCTTCAGCTTCTTCATAATCATTCTTTAACACAATGCAATTATAAATGCTTGGTTAATGATTCAGTGAAACCAGAAATGCAGCTCATAAAGTGCCATGGGCTGCTAAAATGCGTAGTTGATAGTTCGTACGTATTAGTATTACGTAATTTAACGTAATATAAACACTCCCCCCCCCCCCCCATTAGAGATGCTTGTGGAAGTTGATTTCTACTGGCTATGTGCCAAGGATTCCTAACTGCTAATGATTTGTCATACGTTGTATCACGTCGTGACCCCACTGTCGTTTCACTATAGTAGTTTCACTATAGTCGTTTCACTGTAGAGTTTCAACGATACAGGGCGGGTCATATATATAATATTAATACAACGTATGAAAAGTCATACGTTGTATGACCTCAGACCTGCCGCGCACGAGTGCGCGGCTCCCCCTGTCATGTATCGTAGAACTAGAAAGGATATTAGTGAAACAACGGGGATATTAGTGAAACGATGGGGGTCACGACGTGATACAACTAATGAGGGGATATAATCAGTGACCAGATGATATTTTGTAAGAAGGCAGAAGTCAGCAAATATGCATTATGCTTCTATAATTAATTCTTCTATAATTAATTTTTCTGCAACATTACAAATTAAACGCTCAAGTTTGTCAACAATTAACAATTCTATCGGTTATCAAATCGACAGTATTTTGCTTCGCAATGTAAAACTAAAAGCGCATATTCCAATTCGCCCCATTCCTTGTGATTTGAGTTAGAACTCTGTTTTTATCGCCCAAAATGTAAAAGTCTACAGAAATTCTTGAGTTCATAGAGTCTTGATATATTTAGTGCATGATCGCGCTTAATCCCTTCTAATAAAATCATAAAAATCATCCACATGACAAGACAAATTTATGTTGTTGATCCGTGTCAGAAAATAAATTAAACCTTATTTTAAAATTGTCTTTGAGCAGTTGTGAATGCTGCGTAACCAGTAAAACATTTGTAAGAACGGTTATTTTGTAGGCGAGTGTTACACGCTCCACGATTCTGTTTTGATATTCGTCAGGTTCAATGTAAAGGAACGTTATGGACCACGAATCACGGTAAAACGTGCCAATATCACGTGACTCACAGGGACCGTTATCAAATTTGCAGTCGGTGAAAGGCGTTGGTTCTTTTCCCTTTCTAAGGAGCACATTTAACACTTTTACCAAACATTACAAAACAATGTCGTCGTGAAATTGCTCCTTTTAATTCCTGCTAAACATTTTGTTCTCGACCAGTATATTTTTCAGTAGATTGTCCCAGGAACACAACACATTGAAAACAACATCTCAAAAACGTGGAGTTTCAACTTTTCAGAACAAAAACCGACCAACTTCTTATTTCTCCATCAACTTGAGATATCTTTAAAATTGCAGTGATGTAACGACAAGTCATCTTATTGTGTTTTAATCCGGCGAGATGAAACAAATAAAGAATGTCTTGAAAGCGATCGGAGACCATGTAAATTAGACCAAAACAGAAGTCACGTGATTCAGATCACGTGATGTTACGAGAGATGGAAAGAGTTCTGACCCTCGCTAATGGCGATGAGAAGCTTGCTTCTGAGTGACTGAGTGGTTGAGTAGTCAGGAAGTTTGAGGTAGTTTACACATGTCATTACACTGGGCAGGTAGCTGTCAGGTGGTCCGTCCACTGACTTCTTTACTACCGTCAAACGGGGGTGCAGCGCCTTGAAACCTGCGACAGAGGAGTCAATATTAGTATTTAGTACACTATACAATGTATAATACACTAAACAATTATGTATACATTATGTACACTATACGATTATACATACTTTATATCTACCGTAAGATAAATTCTGTTGAATTTTAATAACAAGACCGTGGCATCATTCACTGTAAGAATTATCTCCGAGTTATTTTGAGGAATTTAACGTCGGTATTTATTAATTATTAAAGCTTACCTCCCACAGGGAGTCTGGGACAACCTGTAACGAACTTTAGGAAGGCTCTTTGTTCATTTGGCTGGAAGTCAATCATCACCTGAAGTAAAGTGTCAGTTGAGAGTTGAAAACGTTGTTCATTTATAATCAACCAACTTTTAGAACAAGCACAAATGGGCTTTATTTCGGTATTTAAAGAGGTTAAATTGAGTTGTTTTAATTTAGGGGTCAAATACCAAGGTACCAGCTACACGTAAAGGTAACAACAGTGTACATTACCCGCCTCCCCACCTGTATGAGATGTTTAACAGCGGTAGAAGACGCAGTGTAGCCGTGATCAGGTTGCAGAGTGGTACACAGATCCTCCTCAGTCCACCGACCAGGACCAGTGCCGCAGAGCAGTTGAGACATTTCGTTAGCGTAGAAGAGTTGGAGGTGAGAGAGGGGCATGACAGAGCTGAAGCCTTGTCGCAACGCTTCCATCTGCTTTCTTACACCTGGTGAGATGGTGTTTAGTTCAACTTAAACACAAGGATATATTTTTTAAGAACCGGGAAGACAAGGCGAAGTAGAATGAGACAAGACGAGACAAGATAAGGTTTTAGATGCAATGATAAGATAAGAAAGATAAGATTCCTTTACCTTCTCGAAGAGTGTAATTAACAACAGCACACAAGTACTCCTCGACATTCTCAATAGTAAGAGCCACAGTGTGACCTCCACCTGTTAGTTCTATATCAGTTCCGGGCAGGACAAAGTCTAGACACAGGTCATCAAGTGTGGCTCCGTTATCATCTGTTATCTGTAAAACAAGGATTTGTATTATACCAGCAATGTGTTCCACTGAAGTATTCTTTACACGAGGCATATTTTTCGTAGGTCGCCTATGAAGAAAGAAATATATGCGTAGACTAAGGGAAGATAATCTCTTAGATAACCGCTGTACCTGTTTGATAAGACTATCTTTTCTCTCTTGGGTGAGATCTTCTTGTTTCAAGATAGCTTCTTTCTTGAGGGCGAATATTTCCACTTGCTTGAGTGAAGAATGAAGCACTTCATCTATATCCTGAAAACAGAAATACATCATAATGGGACTCTAGAGGTTGTACAACGAATCTCAATTGGTTAAACAAATATTTGGAATCACTGATAAATTAGATAACTTGTACTAATCACGTGACACAAACTAACCAATCAGTATACAGTATTACCACCACGTGACACAAATTAACCAATCAGTATACAGCATTACCACCACGTGACACAACCCAACCAATCAGTATACAGTATTACCACCACGTGACACAAACTAAGGGGGGGGGGGGGGGGGGGGGGGGGGATCATGTTATTTTTTGTCCGTTTTTGTCCGTTAATTTTTGTCCGTTTTGAAAATATAGCTGCCAAACGGACAAAAACGGACAAAAACGGACAAAAATTGTAACTTTTGATTTAAATTTTCTCCACAATTTGTAACAGGCTATCTGCAGAAATGGGTAGCCCGGTTAATGACCATGGTCCTTTCTCAAACTTTTAATCTTCAATTAGGCACAAAGAATAGTCTACACATTTTTTAATAACATAAAAAGGGATGAAAAGTTTTATTACTGGAGAGTAAAACTTTGTTAAACACAAAGATTCTTGAGCACATTTTGAGTCAGACTCAAATGCGCTTAAAAACATTTTAGTATATAACAATAAATTATGTTAACAATAACACCAACAATAATTATAAATTGAACAAATTATTGAGAGATGAAAGAGAGGAAAAGGAGGAGGGGGACTGAGGAGGGGGACGGAGGAGGGAGAAGAGGGGGGCTGAGGAGGAGTGAGACTGAGAAGGAGAACTGAGGAGGAGGAATGAATAGGAGGAGGAGAAGAAGGACTCAAGAGGAGGAGGACCCAAGAGGAGGAGGACCCAGGAAAAGGTCCCATGAGGAGGACTGGGGAGGAGGAGGACCGATGAGGACTGATGAGGACTGATAAAGAGGACTAAGGACGAGGAGGAGGAGGAGGAGGAGAAGAACTGAGGAGTGAGGAGGAGGACTGATGAGGAGAAGGAGGTGTATGAGGAGGATGAGGAGGAGAAAGGAGATAAAGGATGAGGATAAGGAGGACTGAGGAGGAGGACTAGTGAAGAGGACTGATGAGGAGGAGGACTGAGAAGGGGAGGACTTAGGAGGACTGAGGAGGGGAGGACTTAGGAGTAGAAGGAGGAAGAAGACTGAGGAGGATCAGGAGGACCCAGGAAGAGGAGGAAGAGGAGGAGGACTGAGGAGGAGAAGGAGGACCCAAGGGGAGGAACCAGGAAGAAGAGGAGGAAGAGGACTGAGAAGGAGGAGTGAGACTGAGAAGGAGAACTGAGGAGGAGGAATGAATAGGAGGAGGAGAAGAAGGACTTAAGAGGAGGACTGAGGAGGAGGAGGACTAAGGAGAAGGATGAGGAGGAGGACCCAAGAGGAGGAGGACCTAAGAGGAGGAGGACCCAGGAGGAGGACCCAGGAAAAGGCCCCAAAAGGAGGACTGGGGAGGAGGAGAACTGATGAGGACTGATGAGGACTGATAAAGAGGACTAAGGACGAGGAGGAGGAGGAGGAGGAGGAGAAGGAGTGAGCAGTGAGGAGGAGGACTGATGAGGAGGAGGTGTATGAGGAGGATGAGGAGGAGAAAGAAGATGAAGGAAGGAGATGAAGGATGAGGATAAGGAGGACTGAGGAGGAGGACTGGTGAAGAGGACTGATGAGGAGGAGGACTGAGAATGGGAGGACTTAGGACTTTAGGAGGACTGAGGAGGGGAGGACTTAGGATGAAGAGGAGGATTGAGGAGGAGGAAGACTGAGGAGTAGAAGGAGAAAGAAGACTGAGGAGGATCAGGAGGACCCAGGAGGAGGAGGAAGAGGAGGAGGACTGAGGAGGAGAAGGAGGACCCAGGAGGAGGAACCAGGAAGAAGAGGAGGAGGAGGACTGAGAAGGAGAAGGAGGACTGAGAAGGAGAAGGAGGACTGATGAGGAGGATGAGGATGAGGAGGAGGGTGACTGGGGAAAGGATTGAGGAGGAGGAAGACTGAGGAGGAGGAAGAGGAGAAGGACTGAGGAGGAGAAGGACTGAGGAGAAGGAAGAGGAGGAGGACTGAGGAGGAGGACCCAGGAGGAGGAGGACACAGGAAAAGGCCCCAGGAGGAGGAGGATGACTTGGGAGGAGGAGGACTGATGAGGACTGATGAGGAGGAGAAGTAAGTGGATGAAGAGGATGAGGAGGACTGAGGAGGAGGACTGGTGAGCAGAAGGAGGAGGAGGATAACTGAGGAGGAGGAGAAAGACTGAGGAGGAGAAGAGGGATCCAGGAGGAGAACCCAGGAGGAGGAGGAGGAGGACTGAGGAGGAGGACTAAGGAGAAGGAGGACTGATGAGGAGGATGAGGAGGAGGGTGACTGGGGAAAGGACTGAGAAGGACTGAGGAGGATAATGCGGACTGAGGAGGAGGAACCAGGAAAAGGAGGAGGAGGACTGAAGAGGAGGACTGAGAAGGCGAAAGAGGACTGATGAGGAGGATGAGGATGAGGAGGAGGGTGACTGGGGGAGGACTGAGGAGGAGGGTGACTGGGGGAGGACTGAGGAATATGAGGAAGACTGAGGAGGAGGAGGAAGAGGAGAAGGACTGAGGAGGAGGAGGACTGAGGAGGAGGAGGAGGACTGAGAAGGAGGAGGACTGAGGAGGAGGAGGACTGAGGAGGAGGAGGAGGAGGAGGAGGAGGAGGAGTGAATAGGAGGAGGAGGGGACTGGGCAGGACTGAGGAGGAGGACTGAGGAAAAGGATGAGGAGGAGGACTGAGAAGGAGGACTGAGCTGAGGAGGAGAACTGAGGACTGAGGAGGAAGAGGAGGAGGATGAAGAGGAGGTGGACCCAAGAGGAGGAGGTCCCAGGAGGAGGACCCAGGAGGAGGACTCAGGAGGAGGAGGAGGATGACTGAGGAAGACTGAGGAGGAGGAGGAAGCATCTAAATATTATTTCCATTTTTGTTATTTTTTGTCCGTTTTTGTCCGCTCTATTGTTTGTCCGTTTTGATAATATAGGGTTCCGAACGGAAAAAACAGGATCCCCCCTGGAGGAGGAGGATGAGAAGGATGACTGAGGAGGAGGACTGAGGAGGACTGAGAAGGAGGAGGACTGAGGAGTACTGAGGAGGATCGCTGAAGAGGATGGCTGAGGAGGATGACTGAGGAGGATGACTGAGAGGGAGGAGGAGGAGGACTGAGAAAAAGGAGGAGAAAGAGGACCCAGGAGGAGGACTCAGGAGAAAGAGGAGGAGGAGGACTCAGAAGGAGGAATGAGGAGGACTCAGAAGGAGGAATGAGAAGGAGGAGAACTGAGGAGGAGGAGGAGGAGGACTGAATAGGAGGAGGAGGGGGACTGGGGGAGGACTGAGGAGGAGGAGTACTGACGAAAAGGATGAGGAGGAGGAATGAGGAGAAGGACTGAGGACTGAGGAGGAAGAGGAGGAGGATGAAGAGGAGGAGGAGGACCCAGGAGGAGGAGGACTGAGGAGTTTGGGGACCGGTTTTTGGTACCCGGCCAATGTTTACAAAATAATATAATACATAACAATATAATTTTATTTAATATGCGTGAATATGAAAATTGAAAATGTTGATTACGTCTATTCATTAAAAACAAAAACAGAAATTTTAAAAATTAAAACTTGTATATCATGATTTATTAACATATAGTGACAAAGAGGAGGTAGATCTAATTATTATTCCCATTTTTGTTATTTTTTGTCCGTTTTTGATCCCGTTTTTGTCCGCTCTTTTTTTTGTCCGTTTAGATAATATAGGGTTCCGAACGGAAAAAAAACGGATAAAAAACAGGATCCCTGCGAGGAGGAGGAGGAGGAGAAGGATGACTGATGGGAGGAGGACTGAGGAGGATGAGAAGGAGGAGGACTGAGGAGTACTGAGGGAGGATCGCTGAAGAGGATGGCTGAAGGAGGATGGCTCTGAGGAGGTTGACTGAGGAGGATGACTGAGAGGGAGGAGGAGGAGGACTGAGAATGAGGAGGAGAAAGAGGACCCAGGAGGGAGGACTAAGGAGGAAGGAGGAGGAGGAAGGACTCAGAAGGTGGAATGAGGGAGGTCTCAGAGGAGGAATGAGAGGGGAGAACTGGAGGAGGAGGAGGAGGACTGAATAGGAGGAAGGAGGGGGACTGGGGGAGGACTGAGGAGGAGGAAGTACTGACGAAAAGGATTGAGGAGAGGATGAGGTGAATGGAACTGAGGACTGAGGAGGAAGAGGAGGAGGATGGAAGAGGAGGAGGAGGACCAGGAGGAGGAGGAGACCCCCCTCAGGCGGATGATGAAGATTGCAGAGGAGGAGTACTGAGGAGGACTGAAGAAGGACTGTGGAGGATGGCTGAGGAGGATGCTGAGGAGAAGGTGGAGGAGAAGGTTGGAAAGAGGAGGAGGAGGAGGAGGAGGTGGACGAGGAGGAGGAGGAGGAGGAGGAGGAGGGGAGGAGGAGGATGAGGGAGGAGGAGGAGGACGGAGGAGGAGGAGGAGGAGGAGAGAGGAGGAGGAGGAGGAGGAGGAGGAGGAGGAGGAGGAGGTGGAGGAGGAGGAGGAGGTGGAGGAGGAGGAGGAGGAGGAGGAGGGAGGAGGAGGAGGTGGAGGAGGGGAGGAGGAGGAGGAGGAGGAGGAGGAGGAGGAGGAGGAGGAGGAAGGAGGAGGAGGAGGAGGGCGGAGGAGGAGGGGCAGGAGGAGGAGGAGGAGGAGGAGGAGAGGAGGAGGAGGAGGAGGAGGTGGAGTGGAGGAGGAGGAGGAGGAGGAGGGTTAGTCTGGAGGAGGAGGAGGATGGAGGAGAGGAGGGGAGGAGGAGAGGAGGAGGAGGAGGGAGGGAGGAGGAGGAGGAGGAGGAGGTGGAGGAGGAGGTAGGAGGCTAGGGAGGAGGAGGAGGTGGAGGAGAGGAGGAGGGAGGAGGAGGAGGAGGAGGAGGAGGAGGAGGACGTGTGAGGAGGAGGAGGAGGAGGGGGGAGGGAGGAGGAGGGGAGGAGGAGGAGGACAGCAGCATCTAAATGTTATTTCAATTTTTGTTATTTT